ATGTTATGTTCGGGCGTCTAGAACACAAAAATTTCGCGGGGGCATGCCCCCGGACCCCCTACGACAGTGTTGTCTCAATCGGCCCAACTTTCGGCCCCCCCTTTTGGACATTTCTGGATCCGCCCCTGCATACACTCTATCCAATTGTATTTAACAATAACATGTGAAATGCATGGTTATGATGACATCATGGCCATCTCATATCATGAAATCTGATACATATCATGACAGTTTACTAACCACAGGCCAAATTATACCCTCCTCAATTTTGATCCGGATAGTGAATTCACTTAGAAAACACTTTTTTAGGGCGAATTTAAATTGAGGATTCAGCCCCATCATGTTTCTTTCTTGCCGGAGACATGTTACTATGGAACCTTCAGGGCCAGACTAACATAGGGCCTTCTGGGGTGGCAGCGCCAGGCACACAGGCCCCAATGGGAGAAAAAAACCCCAGGAAAAATCACCGAAAATCTGGTTTTATGTTTTATTCACAGAGAATTTAGGCCCACTTGTAGCCATGTTCAGACATTACTTTTATGAATAACTAGGTCAGACTTCCATTTATTCCAGATATGAGCATATCACCCCCAAAATTTTTAATTTATTATTCATATACAGTGGAATCACTAAGTGGAGGCTTTAAAAACTAAGAGGAGGGATTCTCCCACCCAAGGGTGTGGTTACTATGAATGAAATGACTAAAGGGAGGGATTCTATTATATTCTGGTATATTTTATTAAATCATCGTGGCATAGTAAAATGAATTGAGATGATAATTACAAAAATAGAAACTAAGCAAGTATACAATTCAAAAAAATTACATTATTACTACATTATTGTAAATATTAATAATACAAAGAACAAGTAAACAGTTAAAAAAAATTACATTATTACTACATTATTGTAAATATTAACATACAAAGAACACAAATATTATGAAACATCAATATTGTTATACTTATTAACTAATGATTACACATTTTGCTATATATTATTTTGTTATTTATTTCATTTATTATTTTTTGCTTATTTTTTTACTTCACTAAATTAGATATATTGCTTTCTGGTATTTTGTTAATTTTTTTATTATATGATAATTGGGCCTATATTATATATTGTATTGTTTATGTTAAATTGGATGAATAGGCTCACAGCATTTTTGGTATTGTTTTAAGTTTGGTTTTGTGTCAATATATTTATTTGTTTTGTATACCACAACTGTATTTTTTTTTTTTTTTTTTGGCGAAAAAAGAATAATATTAATAAGAACCAAATCATTTTATGTTTTTTGTCATTGAGTTTTAGAGTACATGGTATAGTAAGCCTTACGGAATGCCTCCAAATTGTTTACTTTCTGTGACATCCAAATTTAATGGTTTGAAGATTTGGAAATAACTTGCCAAATATAAAGTCAACATTACATGTTTATTATAAATGCAACTCCAAAAGTAATCTGACCCAATTTTCTCACCCTATTTATTCTTCCCTTGATCACATACATTTTGCTAATTGAATTATATTCTAAACATTGTACTTTGTATTTGTTGAACTCTCTTCCTTTCACTTTACTTGGCACGAAGGTCAAAAAACAGACAATGTAATTTCTACTCATTACAGCGCTATAGAAATATTTAATGGATCAACCCTTGTCTTACTTTCCAGATACCATTGCTCATGTGTGAGTACAGTGGCACAGGGGCTTAAGCCCCCTGTCTCCCTGCTGGCGCCCCCACTGCTTTGGCAGTATCTCTAACTTAACATCATATAACAGGTTGTTAACTGGCAGAGATGTTTTACGACCTGAAAAAAGCCTAAAACAAGATAATAGTAGCAATAGTAATAACAAAACTAGACTTACTATGTCTGTTTGTACAACAGAACATAGGGCTTTTCTTAATTGCTATAATTAGAAATGAAGTTGAAATTACAAAAAAAAAGAGAAAAGATCGTCACAAACACAATAATTTTTGTTCCTTGTAACTTGGTTAAACTTTCCTGAAGTTTCATTCAGATCAATCAATCCGTTTTTGAAATATCTGGTATGGGATGTTTTCCTTTCAATGGTCCTCATATTCACACCTCTACTCCAGATTGTCACAAAAATTTAATCATTTCTTCAGTAGACCTTGAAAAACTATTATAGAATATTATAGAAAGTTTCATTTAGACCCATCGATTTATATAAAGAGATATTTAGGTCTGGGATCTCAAAAATTTAAATGACCCGCATATTTACACCCTAAACTGAATCGTCCCCAACACATAACAATTTACTCCTTGTAACTTGTTTAAACTTTTCTGATAGTTTTATTCATATCAGTTGACATGTTTTTTTTTATAAATATCTGGTGTACAGTGTTTGCCTTACATCCCTTTAATCGGTCCTCGCATGCACATTCCACCCTAGATTGACAATAAATTTAGGAGCCACATCCTTGATATGTTCTATGCTTCTACAAAGCATGGAAAAGATCCAAGCATGGCAAGTGACCAAAGTGCCAGGCGGAAAACCCCAGTGAAACCCCGGAAAATGATATGGAAGAAAAAAAAAATCAGAACAAATACAATGGCTTTTATAGCTACTGCTGGGAAAAAGCCAATTAAGTCACTAATAAGCCAAGAAATTGAATGCAATGGGTTTAAGAAACATTTTACAATTTAAAAAATAAAAACCAATGCAAAAAAACAAAGGGTACAATCAATGGCAGATTCAAGGGTGGAGGAGAGTCAAGCCCCTAATTTTTTTTTAATAAAAAAAGAATGGATAAAAAAAGGAAAATTTTAATCAAATTTAGGTCTGAGAGTTCCACTTCCGGGTGTCATAATCATAAATTTTCAGACCTCAGTCCCAACAATGGTGGAGCTAAGGTGATCTAGACTCTCTATTTGTGAAAGTTCCTACTTGGGGCCCCTCTATTTCAAATTCCTCCCACCACTGACAATAAACATAGATAGAAAAAAGGTTGGATGCTTTGTGGATTGTGCCATAATTTAAAATATTCAAAGATGTTTGGTTGTACAGTACAGTATGTAGGCCTATTATCTACATATGGCATCGTACAGTCTTAAGAGGTATTAACCGTTGATAAGTAGGCCCAAAGTACAGCAACCTTTTTACAGTACAGTACTTGGGCCCTAGGACTACCATCATTATTAATATGTAGGCCTACAGCTAGGCCTTAAACATTACTATTAAGATACTATAGAGGATGCTTCAGTTCTTATCACAATTCTATCAATCAGAATTATATTTATAGTGCTAGTGTCAAAATGAAAAAGCCTTTGAACAAGGCAGAAAATTATGTACAGGAAAGTATTGCATGACTTGAGTCTTGTAATTTGCAATCATGACAAACACAACAATGCAATTTATGCTAATTCAAAGCAAGAAATACATCTCATTTAAATAAGCTTTAATTTAGTCAATGAATTATTTTCTTTGAATGTATATCCAGACACACAGAGGATTAGAAGGTAAACTATTAGAGAAACCTGGTTAAAAAAATTCCTGTTTTACTAAAACTAACAATAAATAATAAAACTGGATACAGAAATTTCAGCATAAAAAAAGAAATCTACTATTAAGAAAAAAATTAATTGACTCAACCAAAATGAATAAGTCATACAATATATATGGTAAACATCAATAAGTATTCAATAACTAAACTCTGACCTAATTTAGTGATTGCCTCAATATGTTGAATGTTTAAAATAAAATAAAAATAAAAACATAATGCTACCAATGATGTATCTGTGTGACATGCCTAAACATGGTTAAATGATTACATCACATCATGACTATATAAGGGCATATACTTTTGTTTTTTTTTGTCAAAGAAACATTATTAACAGTATTCAATAACTAAAATTTCATGGAAACAGTAACTCAATACAATGCATCTCATTTAATAGAGAAATCTTAACATTATTATGAAGCAGTGATGATAGCATGGGCAGAATTTTCTAAGATAATAAATCAATGCCAAGAACAATTTTGTTGCTAGAAAAATTCAAAAACATGTGACATGCCCAAATATGGTCATGATGATGATGACATCATGATTATATATTACACATCATGACTATATATAGGCATACAACAGCTTTCTGTTGAGGAAAATGTGATAGTGTAAACAGCGCTTAATCATTAAGCACAGTGATGGTAGTGCAAGCAGAATTTTCTAAGATAATAAATCAATGACAAATTCAAGTAAAATGAGGTTAGTACAGTCATTCATTAAAATTACTTAAAGCAATTTCTTAAAGCCCTGTTCAGCCTAAATATGGTCATGATGACATCACATCATGACCATATATAGGCATATCGTGACTATATATGCATTTTTTGTCAGAAGAAAATGTGATAGTAGCTCTCTCAACTCATATCATTTTGCAAAGCACATCAAATAAAAGTGTAAATTACGCAAAGAATCAGTTTCATGCCATTTATGACTGTTGAGCTCATGTTGCCTACCTTGGCGGCCCAGTAGAGTGACGTACCAGGTAGAAATTCAAATTGTCGCAGGTGTTCATTGCCACTGTTACACCTAAACGGCATCATGTATGTTTACGATATTAAGCTACATTAGTTTAGGAGCGTCTGACGTGCATCTGTTGCGGACGAGTTAGAAATCACTCCAATAAGTGAAATGCATGGTTTCTACGATATGAACGAACGTCCACAGGCTAAGTGAAAATCAACCAGAGAGGAGTCACAATTTCACAAAACCTGACATTCACAATGCAAATTAAAATAATTTCACGGTCACACGTGTAAAAGTGAAGAGTGTTTAGTTTCAATCAAGCTGCCAAGGGATAACCTGGGTATATCAAGAGGCTTACGGCAACTGATTTAGTTTTCGCGTTTTAATCTTTATTAGTATTACAAGCTCTAGCTATATGAATGAGGTGCACTGGGGAATTTTTAATAATAAGAATTTACTTGTTCCTATTTCAATCAGCTCGGATGTGTTTAACTACTTCTCTTAAAGGTTCCTCATCAAGATGGACGTTTCAATTCTGGAATGACTGGAGGCTTAGTGGAATATTTGTCCTCAATCTCTAATTTAACCACAACAGCATTTTTGCATCTAACAGCCATTAGTTTCTGAGATGAATGGCATCATTAAATACTTATTATTCTATTCGATTTGTGAAGCTTTAAGTTAGCAGTTCTTGATTATGGAAAGATCTGTTAAAAGTGTATAATTAAGCATCTTTTTCAATTTTAATATTTCAAGTTAGGAGAACCAAAAGATTAATCATAAGCCTTTTGAATTATTTTCTGCATCTTAATCATATATTAATATTAATAAAAACAATTTCATAAAAACCATCTTTAAAATTACATTTACACATTCCAGCTGACTTACAAACCTAAATGTATAAAAACATATGCAATTCTATATTTTCAAAAGTACTCTATCAAACTAGGATAAACAACTTCAAATATCCAGCCATATTAAATTTACTATATTTTTATGATATACTGTACAACCACTTGTGAATAAAATGGTAAAAAAACTGAAAGAACTGAAATGTTTGTTATTTGGTATTTAGAGACTATTCCGTAAAGTTACAAAACGCCTTGTTTTCCCTTCTCATTAGATCCACATGCTTGTGTTGCTACCATACTGGCAGACTAGCAGGCTACCCTTTATACTTCTGGGCGCCAGGTGGAGAGAGGCAATGCAGATAAAGTTTTTTGCTTAAGAACAAAAGTGAGTGAGGGATTGAAACCCTGACTTCAAGGTTGGAAAAAAAAACCGCATTCGCTGCGCCAAACCGTTTCCGCAAAATGTATTTGTTTATGGAAGTACGAGTTGGAGAGGCACACCCTTCGGTGATAGTAGTTTTTGTGACAATGTTTATATGTGACAAATAAATGTGATAAGCCCATATTTGGGTGTAATATGACATCATCATGCCCATATATGGACACATAACACAAATTTGTCATACAAAATTTGATAGAGTATGCACAAAGCGGAGTGGATGCGATTTCTTTGCTAAAGTTTTGATTCAAAGAAGATCCTCTTTGTTCTCTAATTTTTCCTTTACTGTTTTCCCATTTATGTTTTAATTTTTATTCTCAAAGTTAATACTTTTGTTTTATTATTTTATGAGAGTTTTTATCTTCAGTTGATTGATGATGTACCTGTGTTCTGAACTGCCTCCTTTAGTACAAAACTCTGCTAACATTTTCCATTTTAAGAATGATTTAGGAAGCATTTTATTTCTATTTAATTTTCTGATTGTTTTTTTGTACTATATTTCATCATGAAGGATAGGGAGCTAATCTCAATTGGGCTGTCACCCATTGTTTCATTTCTTTACTGTGTCTGCCAAATAAATATTACCATGTTAATATAACTATTTTATATTTTGTTTAACTACCGTATTTATTCAAATAATTTCTCCAGGGGATATATTATAATTATTATTATTATTATTATTATTATTATTATTATTATATTGACAAGGGTTTTGAGGGGGTGTATATTTGAAAGAGGTGTTTATTTGAAGGAGTTTATTCAATGTGAGGTGTTTATTCAAATAATTAAGGTATTTGAGAGTCCTATCTCTATCTGTCTTTAAAGCTCTGTCTACACTATTAAATGTGATGTGCCCATATATGGGTATGATGACATCATATCACATATCATCAAATTGTATCAAAAAAAGTTCAACTCCATGTTCCAACAAATTTTATGTGACGCTTTTTTGATGAAATTTGATAGTGTAGACAAAGCTTAAGACCGGTTTTATATACTGTAGATGCAACTGTTTTGTTTCATTTAATTACATACATTAATGATTAATTGATGTTTACATTTTGTCCAAGGATTCACTTTTATATCTTTACTTGCATCCAGCCATGTTTAGGTCTGAAGAGTGACGAACGAGACAATAGTGTCAATGGATCTTTCCAGGCTTTCAATCAAACTTAACAACTAACCAATCAGAACAAAGCTAGGAATACACACGTCTCAAAAACATGTGTTGTCCAACAAACATATCTGTGAATATTTTTTCACTGTCACCGTCTGGAAAACGATCCGTTGCACGCACGTTGTTGTGTTGTGTTCCCAATAGATTTGCATCAGCCGACAACCGTCAGCCGCAGTGGGTGAGTGCCCGGCTTAAGTCTCATTATGAGGCCTAGGGAGTGGAGTTGTTTTGGTTGTTTTGTTACCATGACATGAATTGAACCCAGGATACTTGGATTGGAAGGCAAGCATCTTAACCAATAAGCCTTTAAATGCCACATAATTACCATTTAAACAATTTGTTAATGTCACTTTTCATCTAAATTCCTTGCTTCTTTTTGTTTTTTATGTTGAGGAAAATTGAATGAATTAGTTTTAAAAAATGAAAATAAAAGAAAATACCACCAAATGATTATAATTAAGCTTCATCAATGATGTGATTCCACACTTTGCCTTGAGTGAAGTAGGAAGTTTGTGTGTCAATAAAGTCAGCATTCTAGGTGACTTTTTATTCAAACTCACATGACATCAATTAGCACTTGTACTGGACCACTCACCACAACAGCTGTGCAAATGCAACATCAGAGTGGATCAATTCTCTACGGTAGTAAGGCAAGTTGAAATTATTCTAAATGCTTTACATCTCAATGGAGAAACTTCATAAACTTAGACACTGTAAATTTCTTTTTTCCATGGCTGGTTTTATGGTAATAAATTTATTATTTTAATCCATAAAATATTATTATAATTATTAAACAGTAAAGATGAATTGTTCGATGAAAAACACCAAAAAAAAAAATATAGGAAGTATTGAGCAGAAGTAAAAATAATCAACTTAGGCCCCATAAAAAATTTATTAGTTTATCACCCAATCAAAGAATAAAAACTGATGAGGGAGGGAAGTTTTTTATTTTTTTTTTACCGATGTTCACAAGTAAATCAATGGTTAGGTACACGTATATAAAAATCATAAGAGTGGAATCAAATTTATATTTAAAAAAAAATGTTTTTGTTGTATCAGTAAACATATTTGCAAGAAATCCTGAGCTTTTCAAGTGAAAACAGATGGAAAAGAACCATTTGAAATAAAAATATATGTTGATTGAAAAAAAAGTGATGAGGGAGCGGGTGATAAACTAATAATTTTTTTTATGGGGCCTTAAACACAGAAATTATTGTATTAGAGTCTGGGTATGCACATATTTTTTGATAATTTGTATCTTACAGCAAAATGAGCAATTTAATTTCAAAATTAATTTTTATGATTTTTTTTGTCATTTTTAGGGCACAATACAGGAGAAAATATACACGCTAAAATGAAATAAAAAAATCTACTATTAAAGTTTTAAAATTTAGTACATGTGTAAACACCATTATTAATTTTACTTATGTGGCTGATTTTATATAACTTATGAATATTATTATATTCATATTAACTTATGAATATTAATGAAATGAATAATGAGTCAGTCTCAAGAGTCCTATTTGCATGAGTCAGGCTCCAGTGTTCTATTCACACATCAATTGTAGCAATCTCTGTGCAGATGTTGTGTGTCAACAGATTCAAACAAACAAACTGTAATATTAAATGAGTGTTGATAATGGTACACGCTATCTTTTGAATTACAAAACACAATGACAGAATTTCTACAATAAAAAGAGGTCATCCTCACATGACCTGAGGTCATACAAGGTACCAGGTCAGGTACCAGTGGCGTAGAAAAATATTTTTCATTGGGGGGGGGGGCGAGGATGATTGAAAATTCTTGGAATTGACATAAAATTACTGATGTCGTACACACCCTTCAGTGTAAAAGTGGCTTGCTTTGCAAGCACACCTAACATCTAAGGAAAGAAGAGCTTAGATTGATACCAGATAAAATAATTTTGTTATCAACGTTAATACATTATGCTAATTTTCATCTTTGTAAGCGCATAAGACATTGCAAATTATTTCTGTGACATAACGGTGCCATCAATGGCAGGTTACTTATAGCCCTCTGCTGGATAAGCCATGCCCCCCCCCCCCAACCTCCTTTGGCCATGACATGTCAGATCTTGGTAATGCCTTGCCAACATTTGGGGAAATAGAAGATATTCATGGGTAAAAAAAACAGTATAGTAGATGGTAACATAATACACTAGTCTAATCATATGGTGTTATTGGCACTCATTGCTGGTACTAATGGTACTCATTAATTTGATAGTATTAGTGGCACTCAATGACCTACTGGCACCCATTGATGGTGCCAGTGGTACTCACTGATTGTACTAATGGTACTCATTAATTTGATGGTATTAGTGGCACTCATTGACCTACTGGCACCCATTGATGGTGCCAGTGGTACTCACTGATTGTACTAGTGGTACTCATTATGATGGTATTAGTGGCACTCATTGACCTACTGGCACCCATTGATGGTGCCAGTGGTACTCACTGATTGTACTAGTGGTACTCATTAATTTGATGGTATTAGTGGCACTCATTGACCTACTGGCACCCACTGATGGTGCCAGTGGTACTCACTGATTGTACTAATGGTACTCATTAATTTGATGGTATTAGTGGCACTCAATGACCTACTGGCTCCCATTGATGGTGCCAGTGGTACTCACTGATTGTACTAATGGTATTCATTAATTTGATGGTATTAGTGGCACTCATTGACCTACTGGCACCCATTGATGGTGCCAGTGGTACTCACTGATTGTACTAATGGTACTCATTAATTTGATGGTATTAGTGGCACTCAATGACCTACTGGCACCCATTGATGGTGCCAGTGGTACTCACTGATTGTACTAATGGTATTCATTAATTTGATGGTATTAGTGGCACTCATTGACCTACTGGCACCCATTGATGGTGCCAGTGGTACTCACTGATTGTACTAATGGTAT